TACTTCAGTCACTAACCGTGACATGTCGAAAGGTGTAAAGCAACAATTACCTGTACTGAGCGTACTGTGCTCCAATATCCCAATTAAATTCGACGTCAATAAGAGGAAGACAGTTGGATGACCTCAACCAGTGGGACATTATTAGTAACCTAATCGGAGTTGTACTGAAACCTGTACACGTAATGCATATTACACGACACCCCAACTCTAAACATTTCGGAGAGCCAAGACTTTGCGTGTTGTGCTGAACTCCATCACTGAAGTAGAAGCAGTACTACTGTCGACAGGTAGTCTCAGAAATGAACACTGCTCCATCCGTATCTTTACAGACATCCCATGGGGCGAGCGTTATCGAGTTAACCGCAACTTAGAGGACTACCGGAAGGAAACTTTAACCAGAACCATACTACTTCACAGGGTTCCTGAAACTAAAGTATGTGATGAGCATGAAATAACAACCCATGATATAGAACAGTGGAGTTATGTTCGTGAAACACTTCGCTTGGATGATGGGTTGGCGAAATCCCTGTCACGGCTGCGTACCTCACCGAACTACAAAGGAAGTGGCCCGAGAGTGTTGAAGGTGGTCCTTCAGTCAAAACATATGGTAGCACGGATGTCAAAAAGCTGGTGCATGTTCCGTTGCAGGCTACCATCTGAGGTTCGGCTGAAGACAATCAGCGATATGCCTCCTAGATATGATATATTACACAAAGAACCAAACGCAATGAGATCTATGGAAGAACAGTGCACCAGTAATGTGCCGAAGGAGCCCATACAACCAGCAGAAGATGGTATTGACCAGACACCTTACACTCTACGTCGAAGTTTAGACACGGGACTAACTACGCGGGCGATGAGTAAGACGTTAAACCCCTCACCAAGTACACATTGAAACAACGATTAGTCGCCTGCTACTGGTCGGCGAAACTTCACGTATGAGTTGTATAACTTCTGAAACATTGCTTAAAGCTGAGAAACTCTCATGTATGTACACTAATGCCCAAGTGCTCCTCAGTAAACTTACCGAACTTCGATTACGTCAGGTTGTAAATGCTTGGGACCTAATTTCTATTACCGAAACTTGCTTACAGCAGGAGATGACTGATGCTGAGGTTGAGATAACCGGAATGTCGCTCATCCGGAACGACCGCCTGAGCAGAGGAGGTGGGGTTCTACTCTACTACCGCAGCGACCTGCAATGTGCAATAATTGATGATTTGGAAACACACGTTACAGACTCACTCTGGCGCTGCCTCTGACTAAGACACAACGACACATGTCTCAAAGCTATCGTTTACCGCCCTCCAACGTCCACTCCGGAAATGGATTCCCGTTGGATCAGTGGCCTAAAAAGAGTAACACGCACTAGGTACAGCCACATTATCATCTCCGGGGACTTCAATCTACACAATCTGGAGGTTTCGGCATCGCCCAGTGAGCAGTTCAAAGCAGACTTGCGGGAACTGAGCGCTAATATTCCTTTGTACAATCATGTCACCATGCCCACTAGATTCAGGAGAGCAAACCAACCGTCCATATTAGACCTTCTGCTCACAAATGAAGAGCTCATGATTGACAAGTTATTGATGGATAGTCCATTAGGTCTCAGTGACCATGTAGTAATAACTTTTGAACATGTGTGTTATGCAGAGTATCCGTCAGAACACTCGGAACTAACTCACACAATCACACGCTACCACGTATTGAAAGAACTCGACGACGGATCTGCTTGGGAATTCTCAACCAAAAGTCCACTTGACAACGTTTAGGCAGAGTTCGTTAATCGACTCCGCGACATCGTCAACAAAGCATCAAAGACCAAACCCCTTCGTCCCGCAAAAATGTCTGGCGATAAGGGATGCTGCATGCCGTGCTTACAAGATTAATTCCGACTCAGGGACTTGGGGAAATTTCCTGATCCATCGCAACCATTGCACTGTACTTGTCCGTGAGGATAAAGTGACTTATCAACAGTGCCTAGCCAAAAAATTCATGGCAAACAACAAACTGCTATATAGGCATGTCAATAAGCTTTGTAAAGTGAAGCATGGAATCCCTCCACTTTTCAAGAGTGGCGGTAGAGTGCAAAATGCGGAAGAAGCAGCTACTGCCCTGCGGCTACAATACGCCCCAACTTTTGAACTCGCAACCTCTACCTGTCCCGTAATATCAAGCACAATACTGACACCATTTTTTACCAATGTAATTTTCAACCCATCAATTGTGCTAAGGAAGTTACTCACACTGCGTGAGCATAGTTCTCCGGGAGCAGACAACATTCGCCAAAAGGCACTGAAGGCGGTGGCTAATAACCTAGCCGAACCACTGCCACAGTTCTTCCAAAGGTGCTTTGATGAACAACAAGTCCCCACTATGTGGAAGTGTGGCATTGTCACCCCTGTCTTTAAAGGCGGTAGCCGTTTAGATCCTGTGAACTGTCATCCAGTGACTCTTCACCCTGTGCTCGCGAACGTGATGGAAGTAGTCATCGCTGAGGCTTTAATGGACTGCTTAGAAAAATGCAACATCTTGGTACCGGAACAGCATGGCTTCCGTCAACACCGGTCATGCACCACCAATCTACTTATTGCACGAGGTAGTTGGACGGAAGTGGCCGATGATGGGGTCGGAGTTGACGTCATCTACCTGGACTTCTCCAAAGAGTTCAACCGCTTCGATCACCGCATCCTACTTCAACGACTTCAGAGTTACGGAATCGGAGATCCTGTACTTGGTTGGATTGGCAACTTCCTTTACCAACGGAAGCTTCAAGTACGTGTTAGGGGATCACTCTCTAACCCAATTGAGATGGAAAGTGGTGTCCCACAAGGCTCAGTGCTGGGACCGCGTTTATTCCTGGTGATTATCAACGACCTGGCAATAGTCATCTCCTCAAATTTCCTGCTTTTCGCCGATGATGTCAAGATATGGCGGGCGACTAGTAACAAGCCAGATCAGGATCTGCTCCAGCGTGACTTAGATTGCACTTACGAATGGTTAAAGAGGAATAAGCTTCATTTGAACATAGCTAAGTGCAAAGTGATACATCTGCGCCACCAGCTGGTGAACGCTCACAAGCTTGGAGGCCACACCTTGGCGAAGGTCTCTTAGGAGCGTGACCTGGGTGTATTGGTATAGGAAGATCTTGGGTGTTCAAAACAAGCAGAGAAGGCGACGAGAACCGGAAATCAACACTTCGGCCGTCTTTGCAGAGCCTTCGGTCGGTTTGAACCCTCAATATTTCCCCAACTGCTTAACGCCTACGTGCGACCTCACGTGGAAAATGCTATTCAGGTGTGGCAGTCGTGGCAGAAACAGGATCTCGTTGCTCTCGAGACTCCTCAACGAAGAGCAACCAAGAATGTGAGGGGCCTCTTTCATCTGCCCTATCACCTTAGAGTGAAATCTCTAAGAATCTACAGCAGTCGATATCGGCTTTTGCGGGGGGATCTCATAATGGTTTACCAGGTTCTGAAGAACCCAAACCACATTTGTCGTCCGCTGCTTGAATTGAACCACAACACTAAACTAAGAGCTCACCCACTGAAACTGACAATTCATTATAGCCGGCTTGAATGCTGTAGAAATTTCTTTTCTCTCCGCGTGTGCCAGGCTTGGAACGCCCTCCCTAATTATGTCGTCTCTGCTCCCAATCTGGCGATATTTAAAAAACGTGTTGACGATGCATTTTCTCACTTACATTTTCATTTTATAACTTGTTAGCCAAGGGCTACAAAACGCAATCAAACGGTTTCTTGCCAACCGCCTAACAAATGGATTTATGGATTTATACGATTAATACGTGAACATCTCCGTTAATCCACATAAGTCTATGGTGAGTCCACTACAACCCTTTTCACTTTAGTATGCAACTGATTTTCGCAATAATTTCCATCCCACGGGACTTGTTAAGAAACGCTTTTTAACGGTAATATACCATTGTTCCATTGTACCATTGTTCATCGCAGGAGCTAAGCTCTGATTCACTTCCAAGATGGACATTGGAGAGCGGTAAACTATTGCTAGTAAACACACCCCACCACTTCTTAGGTGCATACGAGACTTTCGTTTCCTGGGCCTCACTGATATCAACCTGCAGGTCTGATCGATGATACTGGAGCACTCCCCTCCTCAGCTAGGTCGAGCGTTTCGTATGGAGGTTATATCGGGTAGTGCAATCTCACCATCCGTGATCTGCGTGTACATCCATGTTTGGGTGACGATGACTAGGTCCCAAGACGTGGAGACCTGACGCATACGCAGTTCGGTCAGCTTGCGGAGGAGGCTCTGTGCACTGGAATACAAGCAGATGATGACATCAGTGGTCAGAAGCGGGTTTTGCATGCTGGTTTCCAGTGAGGGCCTATGCCGATCTTTACGTGGTCGGCTGCCGATAGCTTTTTGTAGGACTGATGGCGCAGGCCCTAGGGCCAGTTAAGGTTGTTGTATAGCGGTCTCAGCGCCAACAAGTGGGTAGCCATCCTGTATTCCTTCAGCTGTCAGTCTGTGTTGGTATCGTTTCCGTTCTGAGCTACACGGTGACAGAATTGTATTGGTAAGTTGCTTGCTCAGTGTTAAATTGTCTGTCTGTGGCCCGGTGTATGTGGCCTTTATACGTATTTCGGATGGCAGCATTTTACGCTTTCGGTGCCACGTTTTGATCATATGCTCTGCCATCACTTTGGAGCGCAATGATACTTTCATCACTCAAGGACCGCACCCTTTGTAGTTAGCTGATAGCGTTAAGCTTAATGTCGAATTAGCCATAAGCTTTTCGAGTGAGAGTACTTCACGAATAAAATACCATTCATACGGACAAATTAAAATTGCGTAAAAACACTTCACTTCAACATTACATCAACTCAATTAAATACTTTTGAGGTTTACTACCCGTGTTGCTTATTTCAAGATAATGTTTACCTTCGTTTTTCTGCATTAAATTACCAGTGATAATCACGGTTCCCTTCCATAACATTCAGCTGTGTTCGTGGGTGATCATGTCTGTTAGCGTCAAGATTGATGCGTCGGATATATCAGTTCTGGTGGTGTACTTTTTTGGAATTCTCATAACTAGTTTTGTGGTAAGGTGTTTCTATTTTTTTCAATAAAACAAATGTTTAGTCTATGTTCGTTGCGAAGCGAGGCACCGTTAGCGGTTACTTCTTGGCCGGTCGATTGATGACTTGGCTGCCAGTACGTTCTGCCGAGATTTTAACCGTTTTATTAGATCGGCGCTTCCTTATTCGCTAGCAATATTGGTAGCGAACACTTCATTGGTCTTGCTGGCTCTGGAGCGGCTAGTGGCATTGGAGTCGGTGCTTTCGAGCTCAACGTAAGAGAAGTAACGCTGAAGTAGCGAGCTTTACGTATTAAGGGGAAACCGGTATCTTGCTTTTGCGTCAACGTAGAATAACGTTTGTACTTGTAATACCCTGTTTTCTTTTTTAAGGCATCAATATTGCTACAGCTTCTTGGATGGGTCTTTTTACCTGTTTACATTGCGAGTGGGGTACGTTTTCAATATTCTTTTAGCTCCTTGCACATTGCTATAGGTTTGTACGCTCCCTGAATACATGAGGAAGCGCTTTGGAGGCCGAAGAATTCAAATCTACCTGGCCTGTTTGTCTCTTTTGCTTTATGTGTTTACTAAAATTTCGGTAAGTTACTATTCGTAGCTATTACCAAGGACTATGTCAGTTTGTGTTCATTGTTCTTATAACATGATTGCTGTTAAGATACCTATGTTATGCAGTTATACGCTTTCCATTGCTTACTGTTTTCGTGTGTTTTAACAAAGCTAGTCAAATGATACGTGATGTATTATTTTATGCTGCAGCATTTTCTGGTTGAACGAGTTCAAAAGTCCGGCAAACGAACGTACTGGTTATCGTTTGTAGCCGTACATCAAACTGATATGGTTACGGCTAATTGCTAATGTTGACATGTGCATTTTTCAAAATTTTATCTTTTTACGGTATTTAGTAAGAAATACGGTGAAGAGCAGGTCATGGTTTGTTCGCAGTGTAATTATTAACGCGGATAACAATTTGATATTGTGAAGCAAATGCAATGCTACAATGCTGCACACCCAACACTCATTGTGAGCGGAGGTTGTGTAAAGTGAATGAAATCAATTAACAAATCTGCAGCCTGAATTTTCCGGGTACAACGCAACGGGCCTGGCTAAGGTTGCTACGAATCTAAGTTTAAAGGCTGACGGTTTATGAAGATACTTTTACATTTGATCATGTGCCAGCCTTCAGAGTATATCTGAGTAGACTACGTTAGCTACTGGGTTATTAGTCTTCTTTGTTTTGAATTCTAGTCACCCGCTGTCCTACTTTTCGAGTGGCTCAGTCGGTTCCGCGAACAGTGAACGCACAAATGGCTAGCAAAGTTTTGGTTTGATTGCAGTGGCATTGATTACAATTTTGCTAACAACCAATTACTTGATCTTATTCCAGGGGTTAGGTCGACCAACAAGCGGTATTTTGAACTAAATGTGCTGTACTCAACGTAACAGAAAACACAAAGCGTCTGTCTTTCAACCCGGCAGTTGTGGCTCAAGCGTGTGTGGGGGTTTAGGCGACCTTTGCAGTATCGTTAGCACACACGCGGCTGGGGACGGCTGCGTGGCAGCAAAGTTTCGATACTGCGTACCGTCATACTACTGATGCGTTCCTGCCATCCTGTTGGAAGACGGATTATTCTGTGTCTTAGCAAGTTAAGAGCTCTTTCTTTTCATTTAGGGCATTGAGTAGTGATGTGCGCTAAACGTTTCTTTCAATATCCATAGTGACGTAAGTGTACGTTGCTCAGCATCATCTTTAATATTTAACATAGCTATGGTTCATATATTGTATGGTGTTCTAGAAAGTTGTGAACCCAGGGCCCCCGAGAAGGAAACCAAAATCACCATTATAGTTTGATGACAATACTGTCAGTATGCTTGCATTCTCGCAGACTGCTTTAAATATACTACCTAGGCTTAAGGTATTATCTCCTGGTTCAAAATAACTTGCTACTTCAAAATTGACATTTTGCTGTAGCACTGTACTGTGGTTTTACGCTTACCGTTTCGGTATTTAGCAAAATGTTCGTTTACCCTAGGAGTTACTGTCGTATCTACATTCCACCGGACGGCGCAACTTTGCGCTTTTCTTTAGCTCTGGCTGCTTTTACTAGTTTTTGCTAACTTTGACGCTGTCGTGAACACAATTTCTATCTGAAGTATTGCTTTTACAAGACCGCTGTGAGAGTGTTCCTACTCCATCTTTTGCGCGATGTTGCTATTCTTCGCAGTTGTGAGATACTACTAGTTCTTGATATCTTAGAAGCATTGCTACTGTATGATAGCAGCATCATTTAACGTAACAGCACAGATTTTAATGGCTGTCAAGCCTCATAATTTTACTGCATAATCTGCAATGGCTTGAGAACTGTCCTGCATACTTGACCAGGGGTTAGCTCAACATGCTGTCGCTGTGAGTAAAGCAGTCTTGTAGCTGAAAGAGCACGATAAATGGCACATGAAGTGCATACAACATATGGAGGCACTACCCACAGATTTGACTGTGTGCGGACACCGGCGATCTTCAAGCATGGAGCACGAAGGTCAAAAACAGCAATGACTGACAACATGTTTGTAAATAGCAGTCTTTCGTACTCAATTGCTGACATGTTGCGAAAGCCCGCTATTTTGCTTGTATCTCTATGTTCGTTGTTCTTTTTTACCGTTTTGTATTTTTCATTCCGTTGTGTCGTTCTGTTATCTATGTAGTAATTGGTGAGGTGTTATATATATATATATATATATATACGATTTAGCGATGCTTTTTCTTTAATGCTTATGTAGTCGCTTCATTCTATCTAATTGCATTTTGCCAAAATGTTGTGAATGTTGGTGTATCCTAAGTTGCTCTTCTCTAAGTTGGAGCTCACCTGGCAGCCTCCAATGCGTAAACATTACGCTTCAATTTTTCTTGCAACACCGACGTTGTAACATCATCAATATGCGCTATTATTTACCGGTATGTCATACGCAGTCATACTTTTAAGTTGTGGTGGATCATTTGTCACTTCACTCATACCTGTCCTTTTTCATTCCAAAATGTCGGAGCTACTTTTGCACTGCAAAGGTTCTCAGTTCGTCTTAGTTGTCACAGTATACATAAGTCAGCAAATCTATTTCCAACATATAACTGGTAATTCCGAATGCGTTTAACAAGGTTTGGTCTAAATGCATGCACGCAGTTTTCTGATCTACTCTTTCATTACTCCGCGTCGCCTCCCATAACCATCAACCTGTACCAATAAACCTGATTACTTTCTTGCCTGCCTACGTCATCTCAAAATATTTAGTTTTACTTTTTATAGTCTAAAAATTCTTATGGCGTTCAACATGCCTTATAAAAATACGTGATAAAAATTCACATGCATGCATGTACGATGCGCGTTTGGAAGCGCAGCTGATATAGTTGTGTCTCTAAAAAACTTGATGCAATGGTAGCTCGGGTCGTTCGTTCCTGAGTTCACTTGTTCGCCGAGCTTCGTAGTTGGGATGCAATCATTTTATCACCAAGTGAAGTAACTACATCAGTGTGCTGCTGGGTCCAATCTAATCCGCTGACTTGTTCGTCGATGAAACGTTTGCATCCCAACTCCGAAGCTCGGCGAACAAGTGAACTCAGAAGTTGTGTCTCTGTTGGGCTGGTTGATTCACTGTAAAATTGCTTGGCCATTTTCCAAAGCAGTCCAGTTTAGTTAAAATTTATCTTGTTTTTTTCTATGCACATAGGTTCATATAATTCAAGGGGTTCGGTGTTGCAGTCTCTTTTGTTTGCATTCCATGCTACTTTTCGTCCTTATTTTGACTCATCATGTAGAAATAACCTAAGCTGGTAGCAGAACTCGGTACCTAATGGTTAGCGGCTATTAGCGTGATCACTAAGCCATTGGGCACCGCGAGCAGCGCTTGACACAGCGGTTAGAAAAGGATTGTCGGGTTCTTGAGCACCCGCCTTGTGTCTTGGACTGCGATACGCACTCTTCATTGTGGCTTCGGTTGACTCAGAAGTCAGTCTCTGCCATTCCGATCACTGCGACGGTATCCGAAGTGGAGGATTTCGGTGTTGCTCTACTTTATTCCTGCACTCCACTATGCGTATCTCCCTTGTTTGGACTCATCAGGTATCTATAGCCACAAGAAAATTGCGTGTTGGAATCAAAACGCACAGCATGGGTTCAAAATTCGACAAACCATTTTAGTTGCTGTGTTGAGCGTTGCTAATGGAGCTGAAGTCATAGGGGTTATGCCGACAATCAATTGCATTTACTATTTGTTTAAGTCATTCTGGATATTTGTTTGCACTCTATCATACAATGTTTCCATAAACACTGTTTTCAGTTATTCGTGTCATGACATTTGCGTACCTGTACGGAGTTTCCAAGCGCTCCCACCGAAAATAGTAATAGTTATGCTATTTCCTTTTCGCTGATTTTTGTTCACTTCTGTTTCTAGTACGTACATCCTTGGGCGTCGTTGTGTTAATAAGGAAGTTTGGTTTGCATCAGTCGATACTTGTATTGCTCTTGACTTATTTCATTTATCTGAAAACAACTCCATCACGTTCCATATTGCTTAACATTAATTTATTTTCATTTGGCTCGTATTGCGCCTTGATTGCCGCACAGGAACTAAGTTGCAACAAAAACCACTTGTTAGCTAATCACTATGTGACTTCGAGTGCATTATGGCACGGTTATTTCCAATCGTGTCTCGGAAATATATGCTGTTGATTGGTTTACAAACCAAACTCATGGAACATTCATAACTTTATTTGCTCGTTATCGGAAGTTACTTATGCTGTTGCTGATCCTACACCTAAGCGTCTCAATTTTTTACTCACCTGCACTTTTTGTTTTAGGTGAACCTTTACTCTGGTTCCTTGTTTTTAAGGGAGGCGCTTCAGTGGAATATATGGATCTCTGTCCTGCTAATTTTGGGATTGACTTCCCTAATTACTGTTGCAGGTGCGTGTAACTTCCTTTTATGCAATGACCTAGCATGATTATTGCTATGCAGCAAAGTTCTGTAGTGGACGACCTCTATATCCCGAGCACTTCTGTTAGCTGACTGTTTTATTTTCTGTTGCTTAAACGTTCACCTTCTGGCTTTAGATAACCGTACGTTGATCACCTTACTTTGTTGCTCACTTTGGTTGTCCTTTGTACGGTCAACTCACTGTGCGTTAACTGTAAACAACCAACCAATAATGTTTGAACCATTACATTGTCAGAATCTTGCACTCATTTGTAGTTCCTGCCAACCGAACGTTACATCATTTGAAATTTGCCTCTGTATACTCACTTTTCTGTCCCGGGCTAGTTTTTTTACCAGCGGCTTGTTTGACGTTCTTAAGCTAACCTGCTTGTATCTGCTAGACTCTGACGTTTTATGTCTGTTTCATACATTACCAGTTGCATTGCAAATTTCTAACTAGGATGGCTACGCTTTCATGAAACTCCAGTTTTCATATGATCATTTCGCTGTATAATGTAGCGTAAATCACGCCAGAAAGATGCCCGTATTTTTCTGTGTATTTACTTTTTGGCAAAATCTGTCAACCATTTTGGGCTTGATGCTTGAAGCTCTGCCGTACTTCTGCGCTGATAGAAAGGCATTTTTGTTTAGGGTTGGCCATGCAACCAATAACTAAATAAATAGCACGCACGTTAGGTAATTTTTTTGAAGCGCGTACATCTTTTGTCAAGGCGCTGTCGATTTCAACGGTCACTCATTTACTTGCTTTGACTCACCGATATGATGTTTGTCATTAGCGCGCCTGTTTAGCGTAGTTCCAGTGTGGTTAGTTAATTATAGTTGAGAAATTGTAAATAAAGTTATTAATTTCGACGACTCGCTGCGCGTCTTCTGCTTGCTATAGACATATGAATAAGTAATGCCAGTTGTACGACGCCTTATCCGGTATGACTGAGTATCAAATCGTTGGAACTTTCCTATCTGGATTCGTGTTTGCCCAGTTGCACTGTAGTTGTTTTTACCTTTTAAGGTCATGAGTTCCCATCGTTACAATAGTTCAGACCAGGATAACCGGGACCACCGCATTTCATTGCACAGACTATGTGGTTACCTTATTTAGACTGAACTATTCGAAAATTTTACTTATTGATGCTGCTTTGTGTCACGTTACTGCAACTATCTTGATGCGTGACATGGTAGTTCTTCAATGAGTCTGAACACCAGCTTATACTTCCTAGACGCGATGTAATTGTATTGAGGCAAGGATCTCTTTGAATGCTTGCTACACGTTTATGGCACAACATCACACTTCGGCATGAGTAACAAATGCAAGATCATTTGCCATCTACATTTAGCAAATATAAGATGTCCTCAGCATGGAATAATGATCGGAGCCAGTGAATACAAAGTGACAAGAAAAGAACAAGCATTATTAAGTAACCGGTTGGAACAACTAGAATAGGATGCTTCAACTAGTTTTACGAACATGACTAGGTATTCCAGACAAATCAAAAGGTTTCGCGTTGGTAGAGCAGCCGTTGTGTGATCTGATTTGGATACCTAAACTGCTTAGCTGACTGGTAGTGCGGGAGCGCCGTATGGCTCGTTAGGCGGAACACTTTCAAGATCAGTTCAGCTGGCTCCCTGCTCCCGGACCTCTTCATACTCAGGTGATGCAGGACGAGCCATGGACAATTAGTTTAGAGTCTCCGTCGGAGGCCGAGGTCCGAAACGCGATCACAGCCCTCAATCGTTTTCGTGCTGCTGGCCCGGATTGCCTCCCACCTGCACTATTTTAGGATGGAGGTGAGGTCTTCTGCAAAGCACTGACCTCCCTATTCGGATGTATCTGGAAAGAAGAAAGTGTCCAGACTGATTAGAACGAATCGATTATAGTGGTAATATATAAGAAGGGTAGTCGCACAGACCGTTCTAACCACAGGGGGTATTAGTCTAACGCCAGTTGTGACAAAATTATTGGCCTCGATTATCGTTCGTCGCCTCACTGCGGAATCGCAATCTCGGATTAGGGAAGAGCAGGCCGGTTTCCGCCCAGGGCGTGGCTGTATAGACCATATATTCACTTTGCGGCAGGTGCTAGAGCAGCGCCACGCATACCGCAGATCGACAGTAGCCGTGTTCCTCAATTTCAAGAGTGCGTTCGATTCAGTCGAGCGATGCGTTCTGTTCGAAATACTTGCGCGAAAAGGTGTTCCCATAAAATATGTGAACATCCTTCGTGCTCTATACCCGAACACTACAGGCCGCGTCAGGATCTACGGTGTCCTATCGGATAACTTTCCGACCACAGGTGGCATTTGTCAGGGTTGTCCGATTTCCCCATTTTTGTTCACTTTCCTCGTGGATTCTATCTTGGAGTGTTCCCTCGCGGAATCTCAAGATGCAGGCGTTGAAGTGCTGTGTGGTGAAAGTTTAGTTGACCTAGATTATGCGGACGATATCGTGTTGCTTTTCGACGATGTTGCGACGGCACAATCAACCCCGAATAGCATGTCTAGAGTGGTCCCATTATTTGGTATGCGCTTTGCACCTTCAATGTGCAAAGTGTTGCTGCAAGACAACCAGCCACTTGATGACCCCTTGACGCTTGCTAACGAGGAACTCGAGGTGGTTGATCAATTCACTTATCTTGGCAGCTGCATCAGCAATTATGGGCACATAGAAACTGACGTCAGCTCACGCGTTGCAAAAGTCAGAGCTACCTTCTTGAACCTGCGTCATCTTTGGCGACGGAAGGGAGTTTCCTTCCGTCTGAAAGACCGTGTATACAAGCTCACAGTGAGGACCGCTCTGCTCTATGGTAGTGAGACTTGGCCCGTTGTCTGAAGAGCTGAGGCGTCTTCAAGTCTTTGATCATCGGTGTCTGCGAAGCATTGCTGGTGTCGGATGGCATCAGCGTGTCCGCAACGATGATGTGCGTAGGTAAGTACTAGGTGGTGATAATCATGCTAGCTCCCTAGAACAACAGATAGCACTGAGTAAGTTGCGTTGGCTATGGCAAGTGCCAAGTATGCCTGGTCACCGCTTACCTAGCAGGGCCTTGTTTAGTCTGCCAGGTGTAGGGTGGCGCAAGGCTCGAGGTGGACAGAAGTTGACTTGGCAGCGGGAAATGAAGTCACTGACGACCAAACTGGGTGCCGTTGGTCCGTCTCGTCCTCCGGGCTGGAGTCCCCATGACTCGCCTTGTGCTTGGCTCGAGACTTTACAGGACATGCCTCGCAACCGACATCAGTGGCGCGTCTGCTGCCGTCTTCTTATCGGATTGCCTGTTTAAAGTGTGTTTGGTGCTGAGTTATCTACGGGGCAATGGCTGATTATGACGCGTGGCAGTGAAAGTCGCAAGGAAGCTGTCTCGCCAATGTCGCGTTATCTTTGCACGATAGCCAGCTGTTTGTGACGATATGTTGTCTACACAAGGTGTAGGCGGCTTGACCCTGAATGTTTGCTTAGGGTATTACGATTATTAGGTAAGTCCCCCTTCTCTCCCTCTTCGTATTCTTTTATTCATAGGTCCTCATGGTTGTATGGCAGCGAAGCATCAGTACAAGTAGCTGATGTACTGCTGTTGATGATGATGAGTGCGGGTTTTGAACCGCATTCGATGTACATAATAGGTGTTTTGGAAGCAGTCCGTTAGTCAACAGTAGTCTGACATTCCGACCAACACGTACTCTTACAGTTTTGCGATATCTGTGCATTTTCTTGAAAACAATATTTTCAATTACTTTGCTGATGTAAATATTATCATGATCCCCATCCAGCTACTGTGGAGACCCTACTTTTTACTATTAGTACTATTAATACTATCAGTATCATGCACACCAAATTGTGTTATTGATTTCACAAGACGCAGAGCTTGCTCCACATAACATTTGATAAGAAAATCGAAATATGCGCTGGTTGCTGATTGTTACATCCAGTGATCAGGCAGAGCATCGCATGAAGGTAAAAGGTCACATAAATTGGAGGATTTGATCAACCTGGTGTGGATATCGGTTTAGGTTGTCAGTAGCCATGCAATGGGCAGTAGCTAGCAAATCAGCTACTTGGCGTATATCATTTGGGTGCAACCAGCTTACAACTGAGAGGTTCCATAAACACCCAATATGCCTAATGGTTTAAGTGGAGTCGGATTGGCATGTCATGTTCTGAGAGCTGCCTATCGATGGTAGTGAGGAGTTTGCAATGCACCTGCCCGTTTCTTAGGAACTGCTACTGACCGCTGATAGACAGTCTGGGAAAGAGTGTTCTGACCAAATCCGCGGCCTACCAGAGAGCTAGTTTACGGAGCCCAATAAAATCCCTTTTTTGGACGACACGATCGTAGGCAAAGTGGCTAGTCAAACTACATGAACAATCACTATTACATCGTATCCGGCTCTAGCTAATAACAGTGATAATAATAATAATGACAGTTATGGCGTCGTGACGGGGAGCTCTGTGTACGGACGGAACCAAGTTTTCTTTTCTTTGGGTAAACGATGTAAAGCGATTGTATGGGGATAAGAGAAACAGTAAAGCTGAAGTCCTATTTACAGAACATAGCAGCCAATTAGACTAAACATTCTGTATACATTGTGGCGTTCTAAAAAGGAGTAGTGAAAGACGGGGGTATTTATTCATGTTCAGTGCTGCAGCTGTATATATGGGACGAGACAGATATAAGGAGAGATTTATTTTGTGTTTGAGGCGAAAGTGGTTGGCACTTGTCCACTTGCTCAGGCCTTCCGGTTTTACTGTGCGCTAGGCGTAAGCGGATAAAAGGAAATCCGAAAGAGTGATATTGGAAATAGGGGTGAAGATGTTGGAAGCAGAATTTGTTAGCTTCATCATTCTGCCTAGCATGTTTACATGAACACAAATAGAGAAGCATAGACAAGTGAAAGAAGAACAAATGGTCATAATGGATGGGGATGGATAGCTTTAATCAGCGTTTCCTTCTTAGCCCATATGTTATGGTATGGCTGTA